GGGGGGGGGGGTCTTTGCTTTCCCCCCACCCAACCTCCACCCCGGATTTGCCCTCGCTCCCGCATCCCGCCCGCGCTGTTTGCCGGGCGCTGCGCAGGGCGCTCGGGGCGGCGGGGCGATGCAAGGGGCGCTCCCCCCGCCTCGCAGGGCGATGCCGCGGGAGCGTGCGTGGCAGCGCGGGGCTCAGCCCTCTCCGGCAACAGGGACCCAAGAGGGTGGTGGAGGAGCAGGCTCACATCCTGCTTTGGGGTCTCTGAATGACCCCTGGGGCCAGCACCCCGGCACGGAGCCCTGCTCTGGTGCAGCACCCTGCTCCTGTGCAGCACCCTGTGCAGCACCTTGCTCCAGCAGCACCCTGCTCCAGCACGGAGCCCTTCTCTGGTGCAGCACCCTGCTCTGGTGCAGCGCCCTGCTCCAGTGCCCTGCTCCAGCACGGAGCCCTTCTCTGGTGCAGCACCCTGCTCTGGTGCAGCACCCTGCTCCTGTGCAGCACCCTGTGCAGCACCTTGCTCCAGCAGCACCCTGCTCCAGCACAGAGCCCTTCTCTGGTGCAGCACCCTGCTCTGGTGCAGCACCCTGCTCCAGTGCGGTGTCCTGCTCCAGTGCAGCACCTTGCTCTGGCGTGGAGCCTTGCTCTGGTGCAGCACCCTGCTCTGGTGTGGTGCCCTGCTCCAGTGCAGCCCCCTGCCCCAGCGCAGAGCCTTGCTCTAGTGCAGCACCCTGCTCTGCTGCAGCACCCTGCTCCGGCACAGAGCCCTGCTCCACTGCAGCGCCCTGCTCCAGTGCAGCGCCCTGCTCCACTGCAGTGCCCTGCTCCAGTGCAGCACCTTGCTCTGGCATGGAGCCTTGCTCTGGTGCAGCACCCTGCTCCTATACAGCACCCTGCTCCTGTACAACACCCTGCTCCAGCATGAAGCCTTGCTCTGGTGTAGCACCCTGCTCTGGTGTAGCATCCTGCTCCGGTGCAGCACCCCGCTCCACTGCAGCACCCTGCTCCGGTGCAGCACCCTGCTCTGGTGTGGTGTCCTGCTCCTGTGCAGCACCTTGCTCCGGCACAGAGCCCTGCTCTGGTGTAGCCCCCTGCTCCACTGCAGCACCCTGCTCCACTGCAGCACCCTGCTCCGGTGCGGTGCCCCACTTCAGTGCAGCACCTTGCTCTGGCATGGAGCCTTGCTCCGCTGCAGCACCCTGCTCCAGTGCAGCACCCCGCTCCGGGCGCTCTGGGCCCCCCGCCAACGGCTGCCTCCTCTTCTGCCCCACAAAGCCCGGCTCGTTCTCAGCCTCCGGGACGGCCTCCAGTGCTGTGAACTTTGGACCACCATTCTGCACTAGAGACTTTTGCAGAAAGGACACCGAAGCGCAGAAAACGCCTGCAGGATCGAGTCCTTTAACGGAGCATATTAATTTCCATCCCGCGGGGACTGGCACGGCAGGGGCTACGCAAAGGGGGCAGTGGCCGGCTCAGCTACGGGTCCCTCGGCAGAGCGCCGACGGCGTTTGCTGCTTTCCTGCCGCCGCAGGCGCCTGGGGCGCCCCGGGCGCCGGTCTGCAACG